CTCACCGTTCCCCTGCATTTGAGTCTCTGCCAACTTCCTGCTTTCTCTAGGCATGCTCCTGGGCATACCATCTCCTGTCTGTTCTTGGAACATGTCAGCTCTGCAGTCTACTGGGTTCCAGGATAGTCTATGGCTCTGTCTTCTGCTTCCAAATCTCTGTGTACACTTAGCCTCTGATTCCTGTGCCTCATCCCACCTTCTCACTCAGATCAGGGTCTAGTCATCACTCAAGACCTAGCTCAGAAATTATTCAGAAACCACTGTCTGCTTCCAGAGCTCTTCGGGGTTTACCTGGTTTGGAGTATCCATGATCACCCTAGATATTGCTGACACCACATTTGCCAGGTACTGTCCTCTAACTGAGCAGTTAAGTTTCACTCACTGGTTTCACTCAAAAGTTCCAGAAGCGGGTGGTTATTCGCATTTTGGCAAGGACATTGAAGTCCAGAGAGATAGACAATTTGTCTTGGGTCAGAAAATATATTTAGTAGAATTCTGAAGCAAGCCACTCTTGTATCTATACGCTGCCAGAAATTAAAATCTGGATAGATTCTTCTGCTAAGTTGAAAATTACCCAGGAGCAGGATTCATTTTATTGAGTTTTGCATCCCTCCAACTCACCTAATGCCTGTCACTGCAGAACTCTAGAGATATTTGAGGAATGAATAGTCTGGATTATTATATATGTATTAAAATGTAATTCTTGTGAAAATAGCCTTTAAATCTGTCATTTGACCTGTAAGAGACAAGTTGGGATGGAGTAGAAACAGCTGCATGCCAAGGCCTGGGGGAGGTGTTGGGAGGAATCCCATGTGTCCCGTCTACCTGCGTATGTCCCCATGTTTTGGTGGTTCTGGGGACCTGGAGGGTGCTTGTCTCTCAGTGTGATAGTTGGCTAGTTGCTGCTTGTTCACAGTGGGCCCAAGGCCCTATCACAGCTGCCTGTATCCTGTGAGCTATAAACAGCCTGAGCTCCAGGAGAACATGGTAAAGAGAATCATTTATGAACATGAAACCTGCTTTTTCCCCTACTTAGAGAAAGAGAGAGAGACAGAGAGAGACAGAGAGAGACAGGGAGAGAGACAGAGAGAGAGAGAGAGAGAGAGAGAGAGAGAGAGACACGCTAGGGGAGAGGAATTGCATCTTAGGATTAGACCATAGGCCTCTTTGAGTTGTGTTCAATGTGCCGAGGTCACAGATGGCAGATCAGGCAGGAAAAAAGAAGATAAGACTTCTGTGAAGCCGGTAGCATGTTAGAAAGCTCTCTTCAGAACTACTACGGCCTTGACATTAGAGATGAGCTTGATAGGCTCACCACCCAATAAGTGGTGTTTTTCTTGAAAATGTAAAGGCCTGAGTTCGATCCCGTTAGCCCACATAAATGAAGCCAGGCATGGTGATACATGCTTGGAAGCCTAATGTGAAGGAAGTGTATACAGGTGGATCACTGGGGCTCACTAGCCTAGCTTAAGTGGTGAGTTCCAGACCAGTGAGAGACTCTGTCTCAAAAAGGTGGATGGTATCTGAGGAACAATGCCCTAGGTTGACCTCTGGTCTCTACATGCACATATATATACATGTGTATCTATACACATAAAAGCATGAACCTCCACTCACAGAGAGAGAGAGAGAGAGAGAGAGAGAGAGAGGAGAGAGAGAGAAGAGAGAACTTTAAAGTTCTCAATTGTTTAGTTGTTTACTGATCAATTTTAATTAAAAGAATATATTAAGGAATCACCTGTATCTGAGGTTCCATTCAACGAGGATAGGGTAAACTCACTGTCCTGTCATACATGCTGAGATGAAGAAAATAAGGTTTCGTTGGGAGTGGGTTCAAGTTCAGGGTCATACATGACTTTTAGGGTGATGTTGCATAATTGAGTTTTCATGACTGTTGGGGTCTGTCAACATCTTGTTCCGCCTGGAGTTTCTCTACAAGCCCTGTAACCACACTGTGGTGTTGATGCTTAATGTCTTTTATTTATCTACCCAATCTCTACTCTGCTTCTGCAATAAACTGTCACTACAGGAAACCATGGTGTGTATCTTTATGTCATTGATGCTTTGCTCCTCCTGAATTTCCAAAGCATCTAAACAATTATGGTGGATGTCATGAAGTTATTTGTCAAAAGGCACTTTATAAAAATACATGTATATGAAAGTCTGGCCATGGAAACCATCTCATTAGAGTAACAAGTTCCTGTCCTTCCCTGCCGTCCCCTTCCTGTCTCTCCCCTCCTGGGCCCCAAAGCTGCCTCTTCTCTCGTGTGCCAGTGCTCTGTATGGTGTTCTGTTTGTAGTGGTTTGAACCTTTTTCTGCCTGTGTCTCTCATTGCCGAAGTAACTCACCTCTCTCATATCGACTCTTACCCAGGAGCCGCACAGCAGACTCTTTGATGTAGGTTTTTTCTGCATGGCAGCTAAGGCCAAGTGTGGTTTTCATTGCATGATGCAACCTCACCCTTTTGGTTGTCGTCTCCAGGTTAACTAGATCCTTTCCCTGCACTGCCCATGCATGTGATGTGCTTTCCCTGGTGGCTCTGAATGTATCAGGCACTGGACGCATGCATGGAATTAGAGCGCCACACATTCCGATACACTACAGTACTGGGATATGAATATGAGTCTTCTTGGACATCCTTCTGGACCCCCAACTTTCTGATGTACCCCAGAGCCACTCCATCCCATGGATATTCAAGACTGGAACATAGACAAAGAAAGAACTGAATCTCCTGTTAGGCTTCTACTGAGGAAAAGGCTCCTGACAAGGAATTTAGAACCTAAGGTCCATTTCCAAGTAGTATCTTACCTGATGGTCACTTCCATGCCTTCCCATCTCTGCATGCATGTGCTCACAGTGACCAGGGCGCCCGTCTCCTGTTAAATCTTTCTGAACAAGTTTTGCTAGTTTAATTTCGCTTAGACCAGATACACAGTTAAAAAAAATAAAACCTACTTTGTAAGCTAACTGCCCTGAAAAATACGATTATTTGCCTTTCTCATAGTTTATTCTGTTCAGGAATACCATTAATTCAAGTTTAAAATATATAAAAGGATAGTACTATAAAAGGTATTCACTGAAGCGTGCTGGCATTGTATTCAGAGTTATTGATTGATAACTATGATCATTTTCTCTCCCTGTTGAAATACATTATTTTTTACTGTAGGACTAGTGACTGTCTTTAAAAGTGCTGTTATTCTTTTTTATTACTAAATATGTTTTTTCTCTTTCTTCCTTGTATTCTCGGGATAGATTTTTATACAATCTAATTGTCAGGATATGTTTTCTTACTGGATCTGTTGCTGTTGTTATTTCAAATAAGTAGGTGTTTTAAATTTCAGATCTAAACTGGCCACGAAGTGAGAAAGTAAAAGGCGGAGTATTATCTAGCTCTGCTAATCCTGCAGTGGAAGTGGGAATTCCCACAGTATTAGTTGGTCGGCATACTTAGACTAAACTGTGCAATTCAACATTTTGAATAAAACAAAACAAAACTGAAGACTTCCGGCCTTGTTTTTCCCTCTCGAATTGTGTTCCAGATATCTGGGGGCTTAGTAGAGCTAAGCTCCCTCCACCCTACTTTTCTTCCCGTTCTATTAGACATCTCCTACTCACCCTATTGAAATAGACTTTGTTTAGAATTTCAAACATTTGGGGCAGGGGTGGGTAAGCAGTTAAGAGGTTCTTTGAATGGGCATGTTTTCCTTTCTGAAAGGAGCTGGCATGAAATTAAAGGACAGACCTGTGCAGCAGGTGATTCTGACCTGGAGGTTGAAATGCTCACCATTAGGAGAGCTTTCATCTGGGGCCCTGGGAAAGGAAAAATCTGAGTCTCTCTGTGAGCTTCTTCAGAAGAGACCCATTCCTCCTCCTTCTCAGAAACACACAGTGCTTCCGGATACAGTCAGAGGATCGCTGCAGGAAGGCAGAGAGCGAGGCTAAGTGGGTTCATTCACAGAGACAAAGGAGAGAGTCCTAAGAAATCAGCTCCAGGGGCATCCTAGGCCCTCACCACTGTGTTTTCACAGGGATGCAGAAAACAAGAGAAATCAGAGTAAAAGCACTAAAAAGAGCTGTCAGGAGAAAGGAAGGGAAAATAAGCTTCTTGTAATTCACAATACTCTCTTCCAAATTGGGATTCTGAAGCCAAGTGCACACCATTGATACACTGAAAAGAATTATTTCTGTGATATGAGCAGACAAAATGAATTTTGATAAATAAATGACTTCCAGTGGTAACCAGAATCAAGAGGGAAAGAGAGAGTGAAGGAAAAGAAATATTCCTAGAGCTAAGATGTTGATTTCATGAAGCAATTCAGAAGAAAATGAGAAAAACATATACTTGAAGATAGGACTGTGTGCTTGTAGGACTTAGCGAGGCATTCTCTTTGTCCTGTTAACAAGAACAATTTGGTTCTGGTTACTTGTTCCATCTGATTCTCCATAGTCCTATTGGTCTCTACTGCCCGGCTTGCTTCATGACGTTCCATACAAATGACTCTGGCTTTCTTGTGCTCAGCAGATTCATGACTACTAATCAGCAACATCTCAGACTGCCCTTTTTGGCTGTGATGCCACTGGGCTCTCCACAGAACTCCTAAGTAGGAATACTTATAAAACATCCCTGCCTCAGCTGTCAGCCAAAGACAGATGTAAGGCATAGCTATTTTATTTCCTTGTGCGGTGAAGGAATAATTGTTTTCTATGTTCAATGTCAACAAGACTGGTACCTGGTCTCTCCCTGTATCTTAAAAGAATCCTTGATAACTAAACAACCTCAGGATGTCACAAACAAAGCTGTCGGCATCACCAAATTCATGTGTAGCAGTTAACAAATGGGGGTCCTCGGGCTGAGTGTATATGTTATGGATTATCACTTTTTAATCTTCAAAATAAAGCAGCGAATAAAAAGTTCTTCAGGGCCTGGTGCTACTGGGCCTCCTGACATCAGCACTAGACATACCTTCCATGCTGGAACTCTTTTTTTTTTTGGACACGTGGACGTTTCTGATCTGGACACCAGTAGTGGCACTGACTGCCCTCTCTGGTGAATCAAGACTAGCAGATCTTCTTCAAGAACTCTAGCACAGCAGGACAAGTGACCATGTCAGGATGTGACTCTAGTCTCCAATCTCGGGACTGCAGTGGAACTCTTTGTGAGTGTAGACCTTGAGTGGATTCCTCAAGTGCAGATGTGGGTGTGAGGTATCAGAGCTGGAACCACAGAGGTAGTTGTTGATTTTCTACACTATGTACTTAGAGGTAGAATCAGAGTGAGGGAGCAGTGCCAAGGGAACTGTATCAAAGACAGGGAAGAGGACAAGGGAAAGGAGCATATGGCGTACCTTAGTAGCGAACCCAGTGAGTGATCTCTAAGTGTCAAGACCAACATCCGGTGAAAGCTCAAAAAGAATTGTTCTCACCTCTGCCTATACTACCAGCTGGAAGCCCCACAATTATTTGAAAGTGTGTTATATGGTGAGAATCCTAAGTTACCTAGTCATCATTGCCCTCATGGCTTGTAAACAGAGGTAAATAGAGGACTCGTGTTTCCCTGGCACCTATGCCAGGATGAAATCTTGACTGCCAGCTACCTTGAAATTCTGCCCTGGGCTGCTTCCTTCATGAAGAGTGATCCTGGACTATTGCTCACCAACATCTAGGAGCTGACTATTATTGCATTTAAATGATAGTTTATGAGCCTCTTAACACATGTGTGACATTTAGTATCCAGAGAAAGGCCATGGGAACAGAAGGCAGGGGTTGGATGAATCCTCTTACCCAGGTCAAGATGCCTCACTTCTTGTTCCAGACAGATTTAAGAGGAGCATGGCCTCAGGGGCCACTGTCGTCCCCTGACCCCAACAACTGCATTCGAGTCTCTGTATCTGAGTCCCCAGCTCTCTATCCTGACCTGAGACTTTTTCTCTGGCTTCTTCTATCAGCCTCCGTTTACCTCACGTAGGCTATTCCATTTGGTGAATAGACCCAGGGTGGGATTAGGCTGGAACAGAGCATATGTTTGTGCTACAGGTTTCTAAACGTGCATGTATCCATGCATTTTCTTGTGGCCACCCACATGCCACACATACTTTCACAGGCCTGCAGGAGTTCTCCACCTGTTGTCTGGAGTACATGAATGAGGGCAGATGCATTTAGTGCTAGTTGAGTGTCCTATTCTATCCCTCTTCTGGATAAATGAGACTTTGCTAAAGAGAAGATAGAGGTAGAGAGTTGGGTGAAGAGGATGGATCCATTTGGTTCCACTGGAAGTTTAGTGAAGACTGTATCAAACAGACCCTTTTTATATAATAGCTTAACTCTGATTTATTACATAAAAGTTGCTGGCAAATATGAATGCTAATTCTCCTCTGGTAACAACAGCGATTGAAACAATTGTAGTCTGTAGTCAAGCTGGAGAAAATAAGCATTAGTGGGTAGGTTGTCTTGGACATCATTCCAAGATTCCAACAGTGAAGAAATACATATTATGGGAGTAGAGCTAGAAGAGATTGATGGGTTCACTCCTCTGCCTGTCTTCCACATGCACATTAAACCAACAGGGCGAATGGAAAGGTGTCCAGCCTCCTGTGGGCACTCGTTAAAGTGACTCATGGTTTTCGCTGTTAAGGAATCATGGTTGATTTTGTATTTGTGACACTATACGGCTGTCTTTATGGAAATCTCATTTCTCTATGATTCTTCTTTATTCGTATCCAGAATGAATATCCCGGTATATAGAATCTCACCACATGTTAGTGAAATACCCAATCATCGTATATCCTGCTGGGTATTGGAATCACATTGGAATATTTTAGGATGCAACTTTGTAGATATAAGTAGAAACATTGAACATAGAGAAAATTAACCACATCAGTTTTCATTCATTATGTCATGACTTCCGGGACATTTTCTACAGGCAGTTGTTACTGTCATAACTCCTGTTGCTTAGTTATAAATACAACTGTCATTTGTTGAAATACCCGATTTCTTCCTTACAGAAGCCTTTTAAATTTGTCTCCTTATCCCCAGTTTACAGACTAGAAAGCCAAGGCTTGGAGAGGCCAAGTTGTTTGCACAACATAATACAGGTGATAGGCAATAGAGCTAGGATTTCAGTTCATCCTTCTGGTTTCAAAACAACCTAACTGACAACTACTGTTGAGGTTCATTTGTTACAGCAGTGTTTTGCTTCTGCAAGATTTATGTGCATTTGTGTATATAAAAGGACATAGAGTAAGGGTACAAATGGGGACCCTAAGGACACATAAGAGACTAAATTCTTTTTTAGAGAAAAGTTAAAATGCTCCATAAGAAAGTGGAAACCACCTAAGTTTTATGATAGCAAATTGTCTATGTGTTTCATTGAGAAATCTAGTGTGTAAGGAACTGACATGTTTTATCCTCTCCATCAGCAATCTGTGTCATTTTCTTTGTCTCTTAGAAGAATGCTTCATTCTTAGGGCTAATTACTCAAGTAGACACCCTGTGCCATATAAATGCTCTGAAATCTAATGCTGTCATTGTTGCTCAAAGCTCAGGGTTACAGAGCATCTGAGGATTCCAAAGAGCTCTGTGGGTTTATATACCACCTCTGAACACCCCAGTTCATTTCAACATAGTTCTAATGACATATTTATTTATTGCTATTGAGTCTCATCTCATCATTTTAGCACAGGCATAATTAGAAGCTGTTGTCAGAAAGATTAATAGGTCTGTCGATACAAACCATAGCTAAGGACTTCCCGACATAGCCATTTAACCAGTGGGCTCTTAGGATCATGATAGATCCATACTGAAGAGTAAAAAAGGGTTTCCTGTTTACATTAGAACCATTCTAATGTCTAAGAAAAGTGTTTTAAGATTAAAACAAATAGTCCTTTTGATATAGTTGTCATTAATCTTGATCATTCATTGAATGTGGCCCACTCGTCAAGGAAGGGGCTTAGAAGACACCTACCTTACGTATTAGGGATGAAGTCATAATGCTGATTAACAGAACAGACTTGATTCTGCTAAAGAACTTAAAAATTACATAACTTACTCATTGTATGTCCCACCCCAACACTGGGAAGATCAATTCTTAAGTGCACAACTCTGACCAGGTGATTAATAAGAAAAGAAAAAGGACACAAAGCCAGATTCAACTTGTATCAATTCAGAACCTGAGAAGTGCTAGGGTTCTCTCCAGTGCAGAAGGCAATGGTCAACATAGAAGTTGCTGCTTTCTCAATGATTAATTAGTGTCATTAACATGAAGTCCATTACTGTTATGAACTTGTAAGGCAGTTTTTGAGATAGAAAGTTTTATGAAAAATAACACTCATTTTTAGTTTGAACTGCCTCCCTTTTAAAGTTAGCTTCAATATTCTAGATATCCAGGTACCCTTGATCCTATTTATACATAGGTAAACGGAGGCACTTAGTTTGATCAATACATCCAGACATCACCAAGAAAACTTCATACTACTGAGATCGATCCACTCTCTTTGGCTATAGATAAGTTCCATAGAAGTTATATCTAAATGAGGTCATCTGTTCTCTTCACTTTGACTGGATGGAATGGTATGCAGGCTTATTAATCACCTAGTCTATAATTAGGGGTATTCAAAGGTTCAAAATACTATAGCTTTTACTAAATCCATTTTGGTTTTTGAGACAGTCTTTTGTAGCCTAAGCTTGCCTATAACTCAGTAGGTAGCCAAAGATGACCTTGAACTCTTAATCTTCCTGCTTCTACCACCCAAGTGGTGGGATCACAGGCCTGTGTTTGTTCTTATTTGAGAGAGAGAGAGAGAGAGAGAGAGAGAGAGAGAGAGAATGAACCTTTTTTAGCCATCTTTCAATAACCAGGATGACAACAAGGAATTACTCACATATAAAGGGAGAACATTCAACAGATGGGATGAGTCTGTATTTCCAGAAACATCAAGAGTCCTAGGGAGGACTTCTTAGGATGATTAGCACATTACGTGCCCACCTTTACAGAATAAAGATAGAGTTTAAACAGATCAGCCTTCTCTGGATTCTCTCAAATAACCACACAAACACATGAAGTCTTTCTAGGGCAATTTGACCTCATCCAGCCTTTAGACTACCCTCTTGTTTTTGTATGAGCTTCCTGGGAGACTGTGGAAAACAGAGATTGTGTCTTATGCTGCTTCTTCCTTTCCAAAGAGATTGCACCAATTAGGAAAGGGAAAGTGAGATTATAGTAAGGGTAGTTGATCTCCATCCCAAGTCAACCACTTTGTTATATGACCTTGAGTAGACACTGGAGTCTCTGCTTTTCTATTCATAAGACGAAGATTCTTAGCAAAATACCTATTTTATTTGATCATCACGTGAGGACCAAATTCAGTATTATGAGTAAACTCTATAGTGTGAATTAAAGAAGACTTTAATATGAGTTCAGTGAGTCACTTTCTAATTCCGGAGTTATAGAAATTTATAGATAAGGGGAAATTCAGAAAGGGCAGAAGTTATCTGATGAGTCAAGAGTTTAGGTTAACCTTGAAGGCTACCTGAGGTTTGAACACAGAGATACGAGAACGTGAAGAGGTCACAGCACAAACGTAGATTTAGAATTGGCCATGCTTGGGTCCCATTCGTGAAGGAATGAAGGTATCAGCAAGCTGGTGGTACAAAGGATTTGAACTGAAACAAAGTAGAAGATACAGAATGAGGTATATTTAGGAGCGTTCTTCACAGTCAGGCTCAGGGCTGACGTAGGAGGCAGAAGAGTCCCTGAGGCTGACTGAATGATGTCTTGTAATTAGATTAATCTGGCAATATTGCAGAGGTGAGTCGGAGAAGAGTCTGTAATCATTAAACTTATTGAATTGACTCATGTCTGCAATGCCTTGGTCTGACCTCTAGTGGTCCATAATCCTGATGGGAATTGAAAGGGTCCCATTCAATTTAGAAAGGGACCAACCTCAAGAGTGGGGAGAATTTGAATGTTGCAAAGATTGCACAAAGCACTATCTTGTTTCTCGGCCAGTCCCTTCCCTATTAAATCATCTTGAATGTTTGTTTTGTTGTGTTTCTAAGCTGCTTAACATTTCTTTATTCCCCATAAACCACTGTCCCCATCATCCCTGCTCATCTAGTCTTCATTATTTCTTCTTCTAATCTAGAACTGAAAATGGGCTCAGCAGGTACTCTCTGATGGTTAATTGGACCGTCCACTAGTGAAACTTGCATAGTGGCGTTGTAATTAATTCCCTGGATCTTTTTAATTCTTTTTCCCCTTGTTCACATCTGAAACTGAAAATATCTGTTCAATGCCTTGATCTAGGCAATTAGTTAAGTGGCATGCAGCTGGTTATCTGGGGGTGGACTCAAACTCTTAATCATCTCTGTTCAGGTCTGAATGGCAGTTTTCTTGTGCAGTGACACCTGTAATTAGTACATAATTGCTAGAAAATTCTTCAGAAGTAGTAGTTTTCAATGTGGGGGTCACTGGATAATAACATCAGTGTCGTTTGGGAGATTGGAAGAAAAATGAAACCTTAGTTACCCTACTCTAGACCTACTAAATCAGAAATTCTGGAATTGGAGCCTAAGCAAGATTTTAACAAGCCCTCCAAGTGCTTGTCAAAGTTTGAGAAGCACTGTCTTGGAGAAATAGCTTCATGGGGTTGGGTAGCCGGATGAAGGGAGGTGTGGAAGTGCACTTTGGGGATACTGGGGAAGTAAGAAGGCTTAGGAGAGGGTTGGTACTTTCCTCTTAGAGATGACACAGGTTTCCAAAGGAATTATTGGTAGCTGGAAGATTCTGTCCTGGCCTTCTCAGTGCTTTCAAACAAAACCTAGGTAAACCCTTGCTTGCCTTGTGATTCAACAAGTTCCAAAGTCAGTGTTTAGGAAGCTCTGTATATTAGACCTTCATACTTATGCTTATTTATGGGAAATTGTATTATTAAGTAAATGAAAAAAGAGTTGTATTTTTCCACACCAAGTGTCTCACTTCCTCTAGAGACACCTACATACTACACATATGCTTTCAAGAGGAAATAGGCATTTATATTTCAGACTCTGTCCTACATTGCACATTTATACCATCAGAAGGCAGTCTTAATTGCAGATCTATGGAAGGCCCTCAATCCTCTTGGGGATTTATGGAAGGTCCTCAATCCTCGAGTCTTGGTCAACACACAAACTATGCAGGAGGTTTCGGTAGCACCTCTGACTTATATAGACAGCAGATTAGGAATGAACAGTCCATCAGCTACCAAGTATCAAACATCTTCTACTTACCTAGTTACTTATCAACTAGGAATGAGTTATGGTTGGTCAGATTGCTGCTGTCAGTTAGAACTGGTATCTTTCCATTCTTGAAACTCCACATTTTTTTTTTTTTCCTATTGGCAACGTACATCCACCTAAAGCCTTTTTTGATGTGGGCATGCCTCGTCAGAATGGCAATCTAAATTTAAGTATGTGATTCAGAGTCACTTTCTTCTGTAGTTTTAAATAGATGAACCATTTCTCTACTAGCATCTGTGTATCTAGAGATGGCAACCTGCTTTACACAAGAAAGAAGAGGGGTTTACGTTTTATTCTCCTTCTGCAATGAGTATTAATCATTATGATAAAGTTTCTTGGGTAGAAAAATAAATCCTTGTTGACCAACCTTTTGGGTGTTGAATTATATAGTCTCTTTTTAAATGAACCTCCCCCTTGAGTTGTTTCCATTTGGGGGATGAAAGAATGAGGCTTTGACATCTCTTCTTGGCAGTCTCTGAGTGTGGGAGGGCATGAACTATAGGCACTTGGAGGACTTAACTCAAAAGTGATCCTGATAAATAGTTCTGTTACCACTTGAAAGACCAGGCAGAGCATTGTTCCTGGGGCTCTTGTGGCTGGGAGATGGGAGGAGGGATTGCTAAATGGTATATAAAATACATCCCTTGGAGCGTTCCAGTTGTACTCAAGTTTCAGGGCCCAGTTTTGATTCAGTTTCCCACCTCTTGTCCCTCATTTCAATCTTTCCTGCTTATTGGGGTGTTTTCATGTTGCCCTGAGTCTCAGTCAGAGGAACAACCACTCAAACCAACAGTACAACTTACTACTTTATTTCTTTAGCTCAAAGTGTAGCATGCGATGAATGAAGATGAGATGATGATTTCATTCTAAATCTTTGAGAGAATGACAAGAGACATGGTCTGTTTTATTTTCCACAGTACCTTCTTCAAATCTGTGGGGAGTTGTTGAGATATGGTTCTCAACACGGTGTCTTTTAGCTTTAAGCTAGGTGTATATGGGCAAGAAAGAAGGGAATCGAACAAAAGAAACAACCAGGAAATCAAAGAACAATGCATAGAAGTCGCAGCGGCGTGATTGCTTTTGTGTTTCTGTATGTCCCTTTCCAAAAATTACCTCAGTGATGCTGAACTATCATCTCTCCAGACATGATTCCATTCCCTTCCACAGTCCAACAGAAACTTTTCCAAGGATACCTCCAAATTAACCCACAAAGTCATGGAATTAATAGGGGCTAGAGAACTCATGAGATCCCCTAAAATGCCATCAAATAACTGTTGGGAAGGCGATGTCAAGATTATTGATTGGCCTTGGTGAAATTATCCTGGGTTTTCTTGATGGACGTGGACCCAAGGCTTTCTCTCACTCTGTGGACCGCCAAATCGGTGACCATAGATTGATAACACAGAAGCCAAGTCCCCACAGCACCTGAGTACAGTGTTTACCTTCAGATCTCTCTCATCTGCACTCACTTGGTCTCTAATACTCTCTCACTCTCACTCTCGCTCTCAAACTCACGTACCATTCAGCAGTAATTTATCCTGCAGTGGTTCCCTTATCACAGAGAAGCACTATTTTCCTGGCAACCTTCACGCACGCCTTAGGAACTCCAGTATCTCTGTACGCTGTGATCTCATTCTTGGAAGCACTGCTGTAGCTAAGAATTGCAGAAGTGTCCCTTATTAACGTTAGGCCTGAATTTTCCGTTTTTCCCTTGAGTGCGTGCTTGAGTAGGGAACCAGGCAGAAGACAGTCGTAGGCTATGGTGTTTAGCTGCTTGTGTTCTTGCTTCCTTTCAGCACTGGACTAACCCGATTCCAACCTCTTTCCTCTGACTTTCCTACCTTAGTGAGAACTCCACAGTTGTCCTTTCCATTGAAAATGAACTGTTTTCTGTGTTGCTTTTGTTCAGTCCATTTAGTCCATTTGTAAATGCAAGTGTAGACTACCTTTGTGCTTGTCGTACCATGTACGGTGGTTTGGGAGATGATAAAGGACATGTTTGGCTTGTAATCCAAATGAAGAATGGCAAAAGCCAGTGCACGACTGGAGGTCCTCACAGACTGACTTTCCATGCCTCTGAGTGGGCCCTGCATTCTCAGACTGCACTGATTCCTGCTTGTTGGACAGCCAAGCATTGCCCTTAAAAAACGTGCAACTATACTAACTGGTATCATGTGCAGTGATTTCCCAAGTGGCGCTGCTACTCAGAAATCCTTCATGGTGCCCCTCTCTACTAGCTCTTTCCTGGAGTGAGAGGCCCATGTTGCTTCCCTTCTGAGGAGAGAATTTGGAGTCTCCCCATACTCTCTCTTTCCCTCACCACACTGTCTTTCAATTTCTGGCCTGGCTACCTCCATTTGTTTATACTATGAATTCCATTACAACTTTGAGATGTTGATGAGGTTTTCCTGCTTCCCACCTGCCCAAAACTTGGGACCTCACATACTGATGCTCTGATGAGTTTGCCGTGGGAAGCCATGGAAGCCATGTACCAGTTTGTATAGTAGTACCCTTTGAAACTGCCTACACTTGAACCAAGTAGAGTATGCTGGGGGTGTGCATTGGCTGCTTGGTGCATACACAAAGCTAATTAGCCTGCATGCCAACAACAACAACAACCACAACAACAACAGTTAACCCTTAGAGCACTGCTTCCCTACATTGAATTAATGATCTTGCATTTTATTGTTGGGCATTTCTTCCTTCCCTGGATCAAAGTGCTGCACAGGAAGTCCACGCTTTGTCTAGCCCGAACATCAACCAGGATCCTCTCCTCCGTGGACTTCTTGAGATACTCCTAGATTCTTTATTAATCTGCTAATGGCTTTTATAAGATCCGAACGCTGGAAAATAGGCTCCCCTTCCAACATGCTGGAGCACACAAGGGCCTGATTTTTAGTATGTGTCTTCTAAAATAAAGAAGTCAGTTCTTTAAGGGTTAATGTTAAAGCAAGGAGTTTGGTAGTTTCTCCTGCTTGTTCTTCCTCCAAGGTGTCTGCATGATCCTCCTTAGACTCTTAGTTCAACTGTTGAATGATGATTAAAAGATAGTAATAGAAAATTACCCCTGTCCCCCCAAAGCAAATCAAAGAACAAAACACTGAATGGTTGAATGGAGAGCGCTTTGGTAATGCTTGCTCGATTATCACAGGAGGTAGAAAGACCAAATGTTTTATTCAATGAACATTCATTTTGTCCTCTACCCTGTACACCGCCATTTCTCAGCGTTGTGGAACATGTGATGTTGATCTGGTTTTCTCTTATTTACCACTCTCTTTTTTTCTTCTTCCTGTCTAATAGCCCGATAGAATCCTGCCAGAATTTCTACAGAGATTTCACATTACAGATCGACATGGCTTTCAACGTATTCTTCCTTCTCTACTTCGGCTTGCGGGTAAGTTTGGCAGCATCACCCAGTAGTACCGCAGTAGGGCGTGAAAGTCCAACACTCGAAGGGTACCCCTTACCCATGACTGCTTTCCCAGTCAAGGTGAGGCCTGGGGCTCCCATCACAAGCAACACACCTGCATTCTGGTTTTGGGTTTGTGGCAGAGTCTTTTCCATCACTGAGCATTTTCTGTAATTTTGTTACACGGGAGGAGAACTACGGATTGAAATAATGAAGATCACTCCACTGACCCACTATTTCTCAGTCCTCTCTCTGAACGTGAATGTGTTATTCTTTTAAAAATTCAATTTAAAACAAGATCCTTCAGCTCTTAAAGTTATGTTTAGCAGCGATCTATGGAGAGAACAATTATGAAGGTCAACGTGGAAGGTAGGCTGGCAGAATTTAGGAGCGGGAGGGTCTGTATTAGACTGTGCTTTTGAAGGTACAGAATCTAGATTGTGGAGATGTATGTGAATGAACACATATGTGCTTTGTTTCCAACTCTATTTACATACAAGTCCAGTGAAGGTGCAATTACTCAGACTTCTCTATGAGGCTCTTGGAAACTACAGAAAATCATATTGCCTGATCTCCCTGTAAAGCACGTAGTAGCGTATAGCCACTTTCTAGAAAAGCCTGGGTAGCCAACAAAATAAGCACGCGACTACTGCAGAGGAAAATGTGAGGAGACTCGCATGTCCCCCTCCAGACACCCAGAAACTCAAAATTTACCCACTGCAAGAAGAAGATAAATTGATGCTGGTGCAATGCTTCTCATTTCTTTTTTCTGTCTTACTTTTTCCCCTCCAGTTTATTGCAGCCAATGATAAGCTGTGGTTCTGGCTGGAAGTGAACTCTGTGGTAGATTTCTTCACGGTGCCCCCCGTGTTTGTGTCTGTGTACTTAAACAGAAGTTGGCTTGGTAAGTCATCTCTTTCACCTTCTCACTGGTTCTCAAGATAGGGTGGAAATAGAGAATCTAGGGTGAATCCAGAGGTGGGGTTGTCCCTGTACAAAGAAAAGTTTTGTGTGTTAAGGTGAACGGAAGTCTTGGAATTTTAGAACTTGGTGGTCACATTTCTCTTCGGGGCACCAGCCCAGGAGGCTCTGCTGACCGAGTACTGTAGGTAATACAATTTTATCATTGTTGAAGCCCTGTGGTCATCAATGTCACAGCCTGGACTTCTGTGTTCATGGTTCCGTCACTTTTCATTCAGCAATTCAGAGTCAGGACTGGTTAAAGAAACCCATGGGAACGAGGCCAACCTTCGGAGTGTCAGGCTCTGGTGCCTCTGGAGATCTGCCTGCCACAGTTAGCTTCATCTCCATACAGTCAATTTATAGTTACAAGTCTTGCTATGAGGCAGGGCAAGTTGAAGCATCTCAAGTCACTCTCTTATCACAGGCCACTCAGTTCCCTCTCTGAGTAAGGCAGAGCTTTGGTTGGTCTTAGGCTTAACAGGTCACTTCTTGTATCTGCTCAACAGGTCATTTCCTGATTCAAGACTAGGACAATTAAACAATTAGTCACAAAAGTGACTAGCTCAGAGAATGGTCTTGACCATCAAAAGCTTAGGGTGCCTGGGCTTCAAGTTTCTCTTTTAGTTTTTTAATTAACAGGGAGATGTTTCTGTTTCCATGACAGCTACCAAGGAAGAGTCTGGAGCAGACCTTACCGGACAATTTTAGGGTTTCTTCAGTCTTTACTTTTAGGGTTTGCTGCTTTGGGGTGGAGGCTTCATATTTTTCACCAAAGTAACATGCACATAACTGCTATCACTAAAAAAATTCACAGAAGAACAAAGAAAACAGCAAGCCTATCTTCTCCTTTTTATCCTTCAGGACCCCCCCCACCCCAAACATTGCCCAAAGTTGACAGCCTCCACATCTTTCTCTCCAGCTCATTCCACAACACACACAAATAAATGGATGTGCACATATAATAATATTTGAGAGGTGGCGATATTCATAGAAGAAATTGTTTCAAATAACCACATTGTGCTGCAATTTAGCTTTTATACTAATACATGACGGGCAGCCTATCAGCTCTGTAATAATTCATTTTATGAAATTTTATAGCCATTTGGGTAAAATTCCATTATCTATTTGTATTACAGTAGACATGGCCATAAACCTAATGGACCACCCGAATGTTTTCTTTGCTCCTCTAAGCACTATTTTAATAGGCATCCTCATCCATATATTTGTAAAATTCTATTTTTATAGATATTTCCACATAGCCAGACGAGAATTGCCTAGTGAAAGAGTACGCGTACTTTATTTTGTAGATGCTACTAGATAATGTTCCAAAAATGTTGTGTAAAGATGTGCTTCCATTGTGCAAAGCCCTGAGTTTGAAAATAATGGTCACATATGTAAGACATATGATTCTTTAGTATATAATGTTTATGGAAATCACCTTCACACTCTTAGATGTATGTGTGTAGGTATAATTATGTATGTGCAGATCTTAGAAAGATCCTGTTTCCCCCAGTTTTCTCATTAGAATTATATTCACCTACTTGCTGAATGGAAAAGGTTTTGTCTTTGCTTTGAGATGCACTTGGTGAGATTGGTTTTCTAGCCAGCATGACAAGATCTTGAGAGCCATGAATACATCTGAGAAGTGTTCTGCTTGTGACCTACCTGTGTCTGTGAGCCAAGGGTCCCAGCTGCCTCAGCTTAGCTGCCAACAGGCTTTGTGGCCTGGGGTTTCTTCTTCACTCAGGCTGTGAAGAATGTAGCTAGAGAATCCCACCTTCTCACAATACGGGAAAGGGCAGGAAGCTGCGGGAGCTAATAAATGAGTAAAGCATGTGGTACGTTAGGAAGCATCAATGTTGTTGAAAATGCAGACCAATGAGATCTGGAGCTAGGAAATAATAATAGCAATGATGATCATAACAATCACAATAAAAAGAACCTCTCCACTCTAATAAGAGAATACTATTATAATAAAATACCCGTGCTTCTTTGGTAACTACTCTTAGGTGAGATTCTAAACTCATCTGCATGATGTGGAGGAGTACTTTAGTTTAATAATATCTCCAGGAGTTTCCTCTATCTGATTTAATACATAGGTTATTGCACTGTGAAACAATCATTGAACCAGTGAGACACTAGAGAAGCAAGCAAACACTTCCAGGAATTAGGGCTACAGAAGAGAAGGAAAAGCACCATCCGAATCTCAGACAGCCCTGCCTTTCTTTTGGAAAGTGGAGGGACACTGCTTTTCCTGGATGAGATTCTGGAATATGATACAAGAACCAAGTTGATCCCAATTCTGCATACACTTTTGAGGGTGGAGGCTGGTGGTGTTGCTGGCACCATGTGGAATAACAACCTGAGTGAAGGGGCTGGAGAGATGGCTCAGTGGTTAAGAACATTGACTGTTCTTGTAGAAGACCTGGGTTCGAATCCCAGCACCCACATGGCAGCTAACAACTGTCTGTAACTCCAGTTCCAGGGGATCCGACAGCCTCTCTGTCCTCTGCGGGCATTGCACGATACAGGGGCACTCACCTACATGCAGGCAGTACACGCATACACATAATATAAAAATAATAAATAAAATTAAAAACAAAACAAAACAAAAAGAAACCTGAGTGAAAACCAGGGCTCTGGCTGTGCCTTTCCTAGTGCACCACCCACACCAAGTTTGAGTTTTCGTTGTTAGAATAAGATTGAGGTTATAAGCCAGGTATGTTGGCACACACCTTTAGTCCCAGCACTTGGGAGGCTGAGGCAGGCGAACCTCTGTGAGTTCAAGATCAGCCTGGTGTACATAGTGAGTTCCAGGCCAGCTGGAGGTACAGGGAGACCCTCTCTCAAGGAAAAAGAAAGGATTGAGGTTATATAATATGATAAAGCATTGTGCCATTGGCTATATATGTCACCTTAGTGCAATCGTAGTAACATCGATGACTGCTTCAGCGTGGGTCACACTGCTAAGCCCCTCCCCTGCATCCAGTCAATCTTCGGAGCAAACCTATGAGGTAGGCATGGTTAATTACTCCATCTTTTGCAGGTCAGGCAGCTATGGCTTTGACAGGTTAACCCTCTTGCCAGAGGTCACCCAGCCAGGGAGTGGTGGGAAGGGCAATTTATCCCAGATTTGGTCTGACTTCATATCTGTACTGTTTTTCTGATTGTGGGCTCCTGTCCTTAACCTTGGAAGATTTATGGTTTGGGGGACCGGGATGGGAAGGATGGAGCATACTTTGCTGCTTTGTCTTGGCCTGTCTCCATCTCTTCTTACTCATCATCCAGAGCCTCGCTTGAGGCAGGAGGGGAGGGGACAAGATCTTATTTAAGAGCATGCATTCTCATAGCTCCTCTTTCATGCTCCTCCTTGCCCCACTTCCAGAGAAGCGCACAGACCAGCGTGGTGTCTCCTGAGCTCCAGGGCACTTAAGCAGCTTGGTGACCTTGGTCACTCCACCTAGCAGAGGACCAGGGGCTTCTATATGACCCCTTTTAGCAGAGAGAGAGATAGAGAGAGAGAGAGAGAGAGAGAGAGAGAGAGAGAGAGATATTGAGGAGAGGGAGATTAGAACTCAGCTCTGTTTTGTCCCAGCTCAGTTCACTTTAGCCTTAGCCACTTGCCAGTGGGTCCCTTTGTTCAAGACCATCTGTGTCTGGGCTCAGCTTTCTCAGCACCATAGCCTGTCAAATAGCAATGATCATGGCAGCCATCCCATTGGGTCACCACAGGGCTTCAGCAAGGCAATGTGTGTTACATAATACCTACATAGTACATAGTACATAATACCTACATAATACCTACATAGCTAGTAGGGGCATTGGCTATCCCCGACCACTCCCCATAATCTGCCTACCATATTATAAAGCACCAAGGGAGAAGTCAAAGCAGAATGAAACCCAAAATAAAGGCAGCAGGATGGGAGGGCACCCATGTTGGCAGGTGGCAAGTCACTGCGCATTCTCATTACTGTTCCCACGTACCAGCTCATTCATTGTTTCCCTTACAAAATCCTTACCCTCGCCACTAAAATAAATGCACCCTGAAATGAGAGGTGGATCTTATTTTGAGACACTAAACAACATGTTCTAGAGAGAGATCATCTGTCTGAATGTTCATTTAGGAACCGTGTCCCTAGGGAGGTCAGCGGACTGTACCTCCGTTGTTTACGTGAATGTCTGTATTGAGGGTCATCTGTGGTCAGAGGAGTGGAGCAGAAGCTCCCTCACTGGTCAGATGCGTCTTTTCTTATTCTGGTGCTGAGGCTGGAACCCAGGGCCTTGACAATGCTAGACAAGTACTCTGCCACCAAGACTCAGTCAAAGCCCTGGCTAAGGCATCTTTATTGAGCTCCTATCATGTGCTTGGTACTGAGTTAAGAGAGATATAGACCCACCTTCTCTCTTTGCTAGTTGTGTTATGATTTCCGACAGATTTTGCTCCATTTTTCTGACTGATGGAGTCAAGAATTTGGTCAGGGTTCATCACCACTGGACCTATATGTGGAAAGGTCTAGCCTTAGACCTTAATACTTTCAACAAATTTCACCAGAAAATAGAAGATTCTGATAAGAAAAGGAAATAGAAAAATGGGTTTGTGACCAGTCATGGGGTGATGAAAATAATTTAGGGTATTTGGTTATAAATATGGTCCTGAGCATTCTTTTCTTTGTGCAACTAGGTGAAAAAAAGATTTTGTGTATGTGTGTGTGTGTGTGTGTACAAGTAACAACAGAAGGACAAAACACAGTTTCTGTTTGAGACTAAGGTTTCAATCTTATTTTAGAATCAGAATAAACAGACATGAAGTGACAGTAGGTAACACAACCTACTATGTAATTAAATCCAAAATTGCCAGGTACTGGAGGAAAGGACGTGGGAATTTAGAGGAAAGACAGCTCTCGTGTGTAGAGGAACTCCAGGGACTGGGGCTTGGCTGAG